AAATTAACATAGCTACCCACAATATTAGAGGATTTAATGACCTATTAAAAATACAAACCTGAGTAGAATACTGTATAGAAGAAAATTTATACATAATCTTCCTTACCGAAACAAAGCTAAAAGACTCAGCAACAAGATCATTAACCAACCTATTCTATAAAATATTTACCTCAAACTTCTCATCTTATAAGCCAAACTAACAAGAAACTAGTCTGAAAATGGCTCTTATGATATGCAACTAGCTGCAACCATATATTTACAAAATTAATATCCTTTCTGAAACAGCAATCTGCCTTAATTTCTATTTCTCTAATAGTAACAAGTCTCGTATTATTTCAATCTACCTCCCATTAAACTACATCTCTCTCTTAAAGCAAATACAGTCTTAGCTACTCACTTGGACCACTGAAGCCAGAGTTAAAAACTGGTATCTTATAATCCTCAGAAACTTCAATGCCAACCAATTTCAAGATAAACAGCTTCCTATCTTTACCAATCTAAATACAGCCAACTTGACTAGCCTTCTAATATTCCATAATATCCAAGCACCAACCTGGCAAGGCCCAACTACTACTAGCCAAATAGATGATTTCTGGATTTCCTCTGATATACTCTTGGTATTCAATACTCCTCGGCTAACTGACGTCTTGAATATTTCAAAAAGTGATCACTGCATCCTACATACAGTATAGCATACAAATTTTTCACCACAAAAATATCTAAGAAACAAAAAAAAAAGGCAGAAAATATACTTTTATAAGAAAATGATACCAGAAACTTGAGATAATTTCAAGGAATCAACAAATAATCTTTTTAACTAACATCTCGTATTCTACCCAAACATGGACAAAGACAGCATCAACAAAGCCTGGAGTCATTTTGAGTTTATATAAACTCAAAACGACTTAGATTAGACTATAATAGCCTCAGGTATGATAAGCATTTTGCATTTGCGTCGTCATTCGAGTGATGAACGATTCACACTTGCATCGTCAGATATATTAGTATTCGCTTTATCATTTGAGTGATGTTAATTTACGAGTTCAACATCATTCGAGTGATGAACGATTTATGCTTGCGTCATCAGATATATTAGTATTCGCTCTATCATTCGAGTGATGAATGATTTACGCTTGCGTCATTATTTCAGTGATGAATGATTCACGCTTGCATCATCATTTGAGTGATGACGAATTTGAGTTCACGTCGTCATTCGAGTGGTATTCCCCAATTTAGGTTATACTCAAGTGATGATTAGTTTATGAATTTGTTATCATGTGTCATAATGACAGAAATGCGATACCGTCATCAATTAATGCTACCAAATATGTATATTAGATGCAAAGCATCCTACTTCGTAGAGTATATCACGTAAATGCTATTAATAATACTATCATGTATGTTATCAAAGTGTTATCTAGTTATACTATCAAAATATAATTGCTTATATTTACTATCCTAGAATACGTTCAATATATGCTATCTGTTACTGAAAAATCTTTGGTGACCAGTGACAACTTTGGTAACAGGTTTATTATTAAATTTAAGTTTTAAATTCTTTTTTATTTTGTTTTTATATACTGTCACCAAAGTCACTAAAATAAAGTAAAATTCTAAGAAAAAATAAAACTTTACCTTATGATATACTATAAGTATATGATATATATGATATATCTATAATATAAAAAAAGAAAAAAAAAAGCTAGAGAAGTTCAATTTTTTTTGGTGACTTTGGTGACTTTGGTGACAGATATCTAGAAAGCTTTCTAAAAATACAAAAACATAAAATTCAATAAAAATTCTGTCACTAAAAATTTTTTTCGGCATTACCAATAAATTTTTTGGTGATAGCTATACGTATTAAGATAATGTATGTATATCCACTAAGTATTTTCTTTCATCTTGGTACTACCTTGCACCATCTTCTTCAGCTTCTTCTGCTGATAGTAGACTTTAACATGACATTTATCTGCATGCAAATTACATAAGCTATACTCAGACACAGTTGGTTACCACATTTTAAGCAGGGGACATGTTGGCACCTTTTTCAGTGAATAGCACATTCTTCTTGTCGATAGCAAGGCTGTCCACAAACTTTTTCTTCATTGGAAAGATATTGACAAAGATAAATACCTGTCATTATTGATTATTTTTTTTTGAAACTCGTTAGTAATACTATCTTAGGTAAAACTAATTAATTAATATTTTCAAATTAAACTTTTTTCTTAGGTTAATATATCAAAATTGTAAAATATCCTTAGCTACTATGACTACCCAAAGTGAACACAATACACCTACTGTGCCGGCATATACTGTTCCCACTTCTGAAATTATTATTCCCGTATCTAAGCCTAATGCGCTGATCCAAACTCACGAAAATTTGGAGCAATGTTCTAATGTGCTAGAAAAAAATGCTGAGAAAGAACTAGAGCCAGAAATTATAAGAATTTTGAGCCAAAGATAGAGAAAGAAAATAACAAGGCCTTCTATCACTGGGGCCAAAGCTTTTTCTCAATCACAGATTTCAGAAAATGGGAAAGCAGAACAATTACTTCAATACTTATTCCACTATTTCGGTAGTGATTATTTAGGAATCTCAACTTACAATAATATAGTTAGAGAAAATAAAAATAGATTGACTTCAATTCTTGAACGAGCCTTAGCTAACTGAGAAAATATACCTTTCATGCCTACTGATATAGAAGAATCCAATGAATATATCAATAGAACCCCCTATTATATCTTATATTTATATGGCCCACTTATCAATGGTCAGAAAGCGGTGGTAACTATTACAGGCATTAAAGTTTTCTTTAATATCCGAATTCTCGACAATAAAGATATATATCTATTTGAAGGCGAAATAAAAAATATTCTTGCTAATAAAAAAGATGACAAGAAGAAAACTGTAGATGTAGGTAAAATCAGAATAGAGCATATAAAAGCATTCCTAATTCATGATTACTATACAGAAAAAAAGTCATATCTACGAATTTATATGACAAACACTTTCCAAAGAAAGATAGCTTTTAATATTATCCAAAAGTATAATCTGAAAACTGCATCAGATGATCATAGTACATATTACCGCAAAGTCGCTCGTGAATACTGAATTTTTCTTACAGGGTGGGGGGTAATAAACAATTACAGTTATATTAAAAGTTCTTCTCTTTGTTCATATGTATTTAGAGTATCTGTAAAGAATTTTCATTCCATAGAAGACTTAGATGAAATAAGCAATTTATTTCCAACTTTATATATGATACATGATCGAACTCTAGTACTAACATAGGATATAGAAACCCACACAGAATGTGGGTAGATCAATTACCTCGACCATGGCATTCAGAAGATAATGTATTTATGATTTGTATGACAGTTCACTAGAGAGATGACCCTACTCCACTAAAGCAAATCTGTATTGTCGATGTAGAAACTGAGCTAGACTCAAATTGGATCACAATCGTATGTGGAAATCAAACAAATTTATTAAAGGCATTTGCACTATGTTGGCGAGCACTAGCACCAGATATTGTAATAGGTTTCAATGATTCAGACTATGATTGGCCTTTCATCATAGAGAAGGCTAGCCGACTACATATTCTTGAATAGATGTGGTTACAAATGTCTGCGAACTCACGACAAAGTACAAACAAACAGATTTTATATTAGAATTATTATAGAAACATGGAAAAAAGCCTAGGTTTTATGGGATGTTCTTCAGATATTGCTGGAAATAGTCATAAAGTGGTTAAAGAAAACGAATATGAAGAAGAAGATTTTAGTCAGCTAGCAGTAAAAATTAAGATAAGTCTAAAAGAGTTCTTTATTTCTTCTTTTTTGAAGTTGCCAGGATGTGTTCCAATTGACATTCGTGCAAGTTTCAAAAAACTATATCCATGATTTGAAGTGCAAAAAGAAAGCTCACTCAAGTTTTATTTAAAAATGTGTGGTCTTAAACGTAAAATTGATATGCCAATAAACCGTATGTAGGATTATTACAAAATAGCAAAAGAAAATAATTCTATAGAGTCCGAAAAACATATGCGTGAGGTAGCAGAATACTGTATTATTAATGCTCTACAATGTCAACAGCTTATGGTTAAGCGTAATGTGATAAATGACAATAAAGAAGTTGCATCAATTGCTTATATTTCTCTATTCGATGCCCATTATCGTGCAAATGGAATAAAGGTATGTAATCTCTTAGGCGCTGAAGCCTGGAAGCAGAATATACTAATTAGTATGATACTACGTAAAGATGTCAAATCTGGAAAATATCCCAGTGCCCATGTATTTTCTCCTGTAAAAGACCTCAATAATAAGCATCTGGTTATAGGTTTGGATTTCGCATTATTATATCCATCTATTTTCATGACTTACAACTTTTCACCTGAAATAATGATATTAGAGGAAAAAATAGCTACTGAACTACAACAGAAAGGAATACATCTCTATAAAATCGAATTTACATTTAATGGTCGAATATTACAAGCCTGGTCGGTATTATATGAAAACAAGATTGATAAAAAAGATTTGTATCTATTAGTTCTGGAAAAACTTCTGGATAAGTGTAATAAAATGAAGTTCGATCTTGCTATTCTAGGTAAGAAAAAGGAGTATATAGAATTGGTTATTAGAAAAATGAAAGAGAGAAATTTATCATTAATAGATACTATAGATAATATCTTGAATAATGCAGAAAATAAAAAAAAACGTTCTGCTAAGATTGAAATCTTAATTCCTTTTAGTAAAGATTATAATGTTTTTATAACAGAATATGAATCTGTATGTT